TTCCTTAGGAGGACCCCCCACCCTGTAATAGTGGTACAATAGGAATATGAGAGGACCCTAATATAATCCCTATTATCCATAATAGTCACTATTACTGGGTGGGGGGTCCACCTAAGGGATTCCCATGATGCCTATACAGCACCCGCATATCCTTGGGGTTCTTGTTTACCCTGATTTGGGTTGAGGTTCTTTGGCTTTAAGGGTCTTGGAATGCGTCATATATTTTAGGAGGATCCCCACCCTGTAATAGTGGCATAATGGGAATATAAGAGGACCCTAATATAATCCCTATTATCCCTTGTAGTCACTATTACAGGGTGGGGGGTCCTCCTAACATATATTCATAAACGCATCTCAGAGGACAGAGTTTGCAAGCACATAATGGCAGCACTCAGCGGCAAGTATGCTGGGCAGGCAATTTCAGGTGCCGACTTGTCAGGTTATGCCTGTGGCTATTCCATGAAAAAGGGGAGACTATCTCAAGACATAATTGCATAATCTTTTGAAGGTCCCCGTAACACCCGTCCCATTGCAATTTTTGTCATGGTCGTTATTATATAGTACGTTTACCCCTAAACCCTAAACCCTAAACCCTAAATCCTAAATCCTAAATCCTGAACCCTAAACCGCTTCCCATCCTTAGGAGCGCCCCTGCTCTGAGAACGCCTCCCCTGTGCTTACGTATTTTGGACAGACTTAGGGAACAGATCCGTAGAGTCCCTAAACCCTAAACCATATAAACCCTAAACCCTAAACCCTAAACCATACAAACCCTAAACCCTAAACCCCAGCAGCCCTTCTGTCCCCATTTCATGCCCTTTAACGGTCCCTAGAAAGCATCCCCAGTCTCATGGGCAGGGAGGCCGACGGTTTAGGGTTTGGGGTTTAGGGTGTTTATTCATAGTTAGCTTCCCAAATCCCTACGCTTTCCTCTCTCCAAGGTATCAAAACCTGTGTTGTGAACATGGGTGAGGCAGGGCCTGCAGGTAGACAAAGGAGAAAAGGGATGCGTAGAGGGCGCCGGATGAAGACTTCATTGATGGCTCGTTATATCTACGGGGAAATGTGGGGAAGCTCTAAACCCTAATCCCTAAACCCTAAACCCTGAACCCTTTAGAGGGACTATAGGAAGCATTCCTCCTTTCAAACTTGAACCTGTCGACGGAATGCCGTCAGAATTCATGAGCCACCTCTCAGGCAACTGCAAAATCAGGGTCCACCAAGCCCTACCACTGAGAACAGTTGCAAGGTGACCTAGTTTAAGACATACTTGTAGCTGTTTGAGAGATGGGTTGTAGCTAACGATTTCGGGCTTACTTAGACTTAAGGGTTTAGGGTTTAGGGTTTAGGCCAGACGTCTGGTAGGATTGGCAACGCGGAGGGCTCATCAAAAGCTAGACATAGCCTTTGGCACTGCAGGCTTGATGTCATGTTTCGGTCCAATTTTTATGCTACACTGTCCCATCTACTCTACCTTGGAGGAGCCCTGAGTTTGAGGTCAGTGAGTTTTACTGGTGTACATTTGAAGGGTATCTTCTTTTAGCAGTCTTCAGCGAACAGTGTATGTTGAATTCTAGCCTCACTGACTTGACTACAGTTCCTAGAAGGAGAAACCCAAACACTCTTCAAGGATACATAGGAGCCAAAGACTTTTCAACAAATCCGAAAGCCCCAAAGCCCAAAAGCCCAACATAAAAAGAAAAAAAAACAAAAGAACCTTCAGACAAACCTGAAACCCCAAAACCTGAAACCCTATAGCCCAACTGTTCTGAAGAAGCTCAAACCACAGCAAGCAACGCGCAATACTAACTTTGAAGCAGTCAAACTGATTCCAAGCTTTCATTCATGGAACTCTCTAGAGCATGACTGCTTAAGTGGCTGCGAAGAATGATGCAAGAGTGAGGGCACTTGATGCAACTCCTTCCTGAACCCTAAACCCTAAACCCTAAACCCTAAACAGCATGACAGCTGAAGTGAATGAATCAAATTTATCCGCTCCGAAGTTTCGGAACCAGGTTGCCCGCGCTATCAAGCGGCCGCCGCCACCTGGATTCATGGAAATTAGAACATGTACTATAGTCTAAACTCCCTCGAAGGGTGTTATATAGTGCCTTACATAAGGGGATTACTATAGGGGTACAAAGGGGGATGCTGGGAGTTTAGACCACAACTGTCGTAAACCCATAAGAACCCTGCATAATCTCCATATATTTCCCCATATTATTCCAGAGGCTGAAGCCTTGTTGAAGTCTGTGGTAGGATCGTTGTCGGGAAGCCTAAGGTTTCGGCTCAGGGTTTAGAGCCCTGAACCCTATCCCCAAACCCTAGAAACCCTAAACCCTAAACCCTAGAAACCCGAAACCCTAAATCCCAGAAACCCTAAACCCTAAACCCTAGAAACCCTAAACCCTAGGGTGTAGGAGTTTGGGATGGTCCCCTCACCCGATTCTACCGCTCATCTAGGGTACAGGGCTTTGGAGGGTGTGTGGAGATCATTGTGCTTTGGCCAATAATACAGAGCTCCTTGCAGACCATGTTGTTTGTGTAGTAGATGCAAGCGGAGATTTTGCACAACGGATAGTGGGAATGGTTCTGGGGATATGTGGTGTCATGATGGACCTGGTAGCTCCATTGCAGGGAGTCCTTAATGTCCCCCTAAGAGTCCTGCTGAGGTTCAGGAATGCAGCTTCACTTGTGGTAGAACTTACGCTGAAAGCAATACCGCTTGAGGAAGTGCGGCTTTCATGTGGACACATGTTATCTCCCTTGTCCTCTGCAGACATCTTGCTTGAAGAGCCCCACCAATTCTGCTAAGGCAATACGTGACAAAGTTCTTCGGCAATGCTTGGGCCTTGATCTCCTGCACCGGGGGTTGAAGTACTGTTGATGCAATAATCCCATAATCCTGCATGACCTTAGTATACTGTCGTACCACAATGCCGAAGGAGTAAGGTCCTCAGGATGAGTTAGGACTTAGTTAGTATCAACTGTAGGTCATAGCTTGAGTGAAACGTCCTTTATGAGCTCAGATCTTTTAGAGTCACACAGGGGTTCAGGTTTAGGGTTTGGGGTTTAGGGTTTAGGCATCCACAGCAGCAAGGATGGGTGGATCAGCTTGTGTTTCCCCTAAACCCTACATGGTAGCTTCCATTTTCTTTTCCATTATCCCTATACCGCCTAGAATATCCCTATATAACCCTATAATGTAGTAGTGTCCATTTTCCATTATCCCAATATTGGCCCAATATATACCCTATTATAACCCTCATGAGTATATACTTCCTTTCACCCCCCCGTTCAAACCCTCCGGACTTTCGTAGCGCTTGATGGGATTGCAGCAGGTTTCAAGGGTCTCGTGAAAAGGGCTTTTTTGTACTTAAGCTTGGGTGTGAGGTTCAGCGGCAAAGATGGTGCAAGTAGGGAATTTGGCCTACAACTTGGACTGATTCTGCTTGCCTAGATGCCTGATATTATCCGTAGGCCCAAAACCCTAAACCCTAAACCCTAAACCTTTGCAAATCAAGGTGGCAGTTTCCATACATGGGTGGCCCCAAAACAGATGACTGTGTGCTGCAATCCTTATTCTGCGGACACCCAAAACGGGGTCCCCTATTTCCAGCCCCCCAGATGGAACTACCCCTGCCCTTTCAGACAACCTTGTAGGTTAAGATGCTGCATCACTAGAGGACAAAGACTAGAGGACAAAGATTAAACCCATATCTCCCAACCCCTAACCCCCCCAAGGATTCGAGTTTAGGGTTCAGAGTTGTTTGAAATATTACTCAAGCTACCATGAGCCAGTGCATACATAGATCATGCCCAGGAACCAGGCCCTATTGCCTAAACCTAAGTCCCCCTTGAGTAGATAGAATATGTCTTTGGGTATGTTATAATAGGATCCCCATATACCCTAAACCCTAAACCCATATACCCCATATTCTGTCTACTTAACGGGGACTATAAGTCTCGAGCTCCTGAAGCGTGAACTTTCAGGACACCAGCTCCCAGACCTCTAGCATTCAAACCAGCCCAAACCTGATCCTTACAATGGTCACAGATGTTCTAGCCTTCCTTAACCCCAAACCCAAAACCCTAAACTAGACCCAAACTAAACTCTGAACCCTAGACTCTATGAGCTCTTTCACCTTCTAGCGTCCCAAGCTTTAAAAAGCCATCTTCAAGTCGTTAGCTGCCAGTCAGGACTTGGGCGCCCAGTCAACGTACACCAACAAGGCCAGCTGCCTTGAAATGTGCTGTTCTGGGCATTTGTCAACATGGGAGGTTATGGGGATCCCTACTGAGGAGTCTATAGGTGTAACTGTGATAGGTCTCTATCTGGCAAACGCCTATTTTGTGGCCCGTGCAAGCTATATGCACAAGCCTAAACCCTAAACCCTAAACCCGCTCAGGATTGTTCGGGCTGTCGAATTTCTGATGTGCGAATTTGGGAGCTGGGGATCCCCATAGTCAGGATTAGAATGGTGTCATACTTGGAAATATGGTACTTTCCCAAAATAGGGGACCCTAATAGAGACCCCAAAATACTATAGTCCTTATTATGGGGACCCCCAAAAAGGTACCCCTAATTTTGGGAAACCCCCATATTCATCTAGTGTTGAAGCGCCACCTATGAGACTGCCCTTGTGGTCTGCAGATCAGTGAGTGGAAGCAGCCTGTTATTCAGAGTTTGCCGTTGAAGGTCACAGGCGGTTGCCCAAGGGACTCCAAAGTACACGGTGATTGAAATGACAGTCAGCCTAGCCGGGATAGTGGGGTGTGGTAGCTATTACAATCATGGGTTCTGAATGTACTGAGGCTAAGACTAGCAATCAGAAGCATCAGTAAGCGAGACGTAGTCATGTTAGGCAGCAACCCGTTTCGCTCAACGTGAGTTACGCCTTCAGCTCCTCAAGGGGCGTTGCGGTGACTATATTCGGGCATTTCGATATGCTTCCATGCACCACGCTAGGGTCCATGCAAGTGGCTTGGGCCATGTTTCTGAGCTTTAAACCCTAAACCGCCATGTTCCTGAAGCCTTGTTAGGGCAGCTGGATTGAAGTACCGGCTTGGCAAGTTTAGGGTTTGGAGTGTAGGGTGCATCTTGGCACTGCAGTGTTCAGGACTTAACCAAGAATTTCCTCAGAAAAAAAGGCTCCCGGAGTGAATCCTGTGACAGAATGAAGCAGATGGGGTGGTAGTGGCTGGCTCAGGATGACATTCTTCTAGGATACCAGTCATATGAGCTATAGTCTAAACTCTTAGTTAGTGTCCCCGTAAAAAATCCCTATACTGGTCCCCCCTGTATAAACAGCCTTTCAGGAGTTTCGACTACAGTTCGTATAATCTCTTAGATATCCTCTCAACACTCATCATCTTTGTCGTCATCAGCCATGCGCCATTTCTATGTATCTGTGCATTTCTCAAGTGTTGGGTCCCCGTATGTACCTTCAAAAGAATATATTCCACCTCTTCCTGGAACCCCCAATATCCAAAATCTCCATGGGGACAGCCTGAACCTAAACCCTAAACCCTAACTCCTAACCCCTAAACCCTAAACCCTAAACCCCATTGCCAGGAAGGAGAGGGAGAGCGTTCCATTGTCCGGGGAGCCCATCAGGTGGAGGAGAGCTCAGACATTTTTCTTTACTTAGGATTTATGGTTGAGGGGAAGGGGGGACCCTGTCCCTGGTAACTGTGGCTCCTTCTCCATTTTCGCAACTAAGCATGAGTGAGTTTCCGAGCATCACCCGGCAATATGGGCCTTCAAGTAGAGGGTTTGTCGATTTTTGTTGGGGACTTTCCATGTTGACTTCCATGTACTTGAGGTTTGAAGACCATGTATACAGGACTTCCTCAAAAGTTCTTGCGCAGAACTCTTCTATGATCTTGATCCCCTCTAATTATCACCCCTTCGTGCATCCTAGGGGACCCTTACGAATGCCAAGTCTTGAGAACAGCCTTGGCATGGATACCAAAAGCCTGGGGAAGCTTGACGCAAGGAGGTTGAGGAGTAGAGATAGTGGCAGTGGTGCTTCTTTGGCTGGGACTTGTAGAGACAAGCGCCGTCAATCTCGTATCACCGCACTCGATTTCTGTGAGTTTGAAATCCTGGGGTTGCAAGTCATTATTGCGATTTTTTGTAGGGCACCGGAGACGACAGCAAATAAACAAATGCAGCCTATTTGGCTCAGTGATTTGGACCGGGAAAGGCCGAGCAAAAATGCCACGCATAAGCGTGAACGTCTACACACTGAACGGGGGCCATCTGGAGCTCTCCTTCGGAACAGCGGCGCCTACGATTCGTGATGTGCCTCATGGCCTTGATGATCAGTTTGCTTGTATTCAAGGGGACCTCCTCAGTTTCTCCTGCCTGTTTTTGCCACTCATTTCTGTGAATGCTCTCACATCCCGTGACACGTGCAAGCCTAGGAAGGAGTCCATCTTTGAGCACCTCGGTGTGCCAACCGCTGCCCAGACGTTGATTCTGGCAGAGATGGAAGGCCCTCGTCTAGTATTCGATTCTGAACGGCTTCTGCAACTTGGACTCTCAACCAGAAGCTGTGGGTGGATGTATGTATATATTCAACATGTATTTGTATAGAAACATTGCATGTCCACCTTTGCAAAGACCGTATGAGACATCCCCGAATCAGGATGGTGTGCAGCAGCCAAGGTGCTTGGAATCTACCAGGCTCCAGCTTGTCCGCTCCAGCGGAGAGGCTTCAGATGCCAGGCGGGATGTGACCAGTATACGGGTGCTTACCCCCAAATTTCCTTGACCTTTATGTGTGGGGACTTCCGAAACACGACCTTTGATTTCTGGAAACCCCCGTATTCTTCTGACGAGGGAAGTCTATCATCGCCTTCTGGTCTTGTTCATCCCTAGGATTCTCAAGAGCGTCCCCGGATTTTGAGCAAGCTTGCATCCTCTTTTTCATTGTGGCATTTCATGAGAAGAAGATACTCTTACGTGGCTCAGCCACCAAGAGCCCCTACTCAGGTGCTACTCTGAGAACATGGAGAGCACCATGTGCGAGCTTGAAAACGGACCGAATGTCCACAAGGATATTGTGCCCAGCACGGCAGGAAGTCCATCTACCTTAGATGGCGCGATCCATACCGTTCCAACGGAACGGGCGTCCGCAAGGACATTTCGCCCGGCAGGGCGCGCAGTCCATCCACCTTGGATGGCATGATCCATACTGTTCCAACGTTTGGATGGAACACTCCATACTATGACCGGTACTGCCACCGCGACTGTCACTGTCGCTGTCGCTGTCACATTTTACTCGTACTGGTACCATTACTTCTTCTTCTACTACTACTGCTACTACTACTGCTGCTGCTACTGCTACTGCAACTGCTACTGCAACTGCTACTGCTGCTGCTCCTGCTACTACTCCTGCTGCTGCTCTCACTGCCACTACTGCTCCTGTTACTGCTACACTTCACCTCCAGGTTTAAGGTGTGTGACACCTGAATCCTTGGAGAACGGAACCAATGTCCACAAAGACGTTGAGCTAGATATTGAGATCCACGTTGGGTCCAAGTTTGGGGAACACGCCCGCTGCGATTTCATGCAAAGACGCAACGGGCAGCTTCCCACCCCGAGCCGGGGTCCCAATCTTGAATCCTTCGAGAACGCAACACGCGTCCACAGAGATGCAGTGCTCAGCAGGGCTTGCCCTACTCCCGATGGAACTATCCATATTTAATGGCACGACCTGTCCACAAGGGTCTGCGAGCCCGAAAGGGAGTGCATATTGGTGCATAGGTTCATACATAGACAAACCAATTGGCTGCGTGCCATTGGTCTTGGTGCTTGTAATTCATTGAGAAGGGAGTTTCTCAAACACATCTCCCCCAGGACCGAGGACTTTTGTAGCCCCTTGTAATGCCTATGTTTTGAGGTTTTGGATAGTATTCCTATGATGAGAAACACCCACAACAGGCTGAGGCCAGTTTTGTGGCTCGTGGAGACGTTACTCCTTTGCGCCCGGTCGTATCGGGTGGTGGATGCCGACCCTAGTCACATTGAGCTATTGATTTGGTTTTTGGGTTCGTGCAAGTGTGCATGTGCCAGTGTAGAATGCACTGATACGGTGCTGTGAGCACCATTGGCATCCATATGTGGATTGTTGCGTCGAGCCTGAGCCTTTTTCTGTGCAGTAGCATGCTTGGACCCTCCACCGCAAGCGAAGCGGCTCCGATAGCAGCTTGACAAATTTTGTTTCAGAGGGGCCCATGGCTACTTGGCTTGTGGCTCATGGTGCCGCTCCTGTGGCTTCCTAAGAAAATAACGGATGCCTGCTCATATTCCTGCTCCCTCTGCTCACATGATCGGACTGATCCAACGGTCAGAAGTTTCATTAGTTCTAATGCTGGGGACCTTTCTTCTGGCGTCCTGCCAAAGAGGATGCCTGCTCGTTCTCCTGCTTCGGCGGATCCCCCTGATGCGAAATCGTTCGCTGAAGCAGCGGTGTATAGAATTCATAGACATAAGCAGCCAAGATCAGGGGATCCTGGCCAATTTCTGTTCTTTGTCCTCTGTTTATCCATGCTCCATCTTAGTCGTCCCGTCCGCGGTCTACTCATCCCGTCTGCGGTTGATCCGTCCCATCCACTGCTCAGCCTGCCTGATCCTCTTCTTTCTTTGTTCAGCTTCCCTTTCTCAATCCCGTGCTGCTTGTCTAGCCAGATGGTGTCTGCGTTATTGCACACACCGAAGGTCGCAAGCAGCATGTTCTTGTCACGCTCATCGTCCTGCTAACTTAAAGATGCCTCTGCCTTGGACTGCAACTGCCCGGGATTCAGAGAGAGCAGATGATCCAAATGGTGAACAGGACTATGACCGACATTTTTTTGAAATACCCAGAGCGTGCATCTCTTCATTTCTTTGTCAGGTTGGCGTCGTTTTCAATGAGGTTGTTTCATCAGGGGTCCATAGGAGGATTCTTCGGATGTTATGTACGGGCACCACATCCAAGTATACAGGAACAGAAATCTTTATCTCGAGGAATGGTAGTGTAGTTCCTCAGCGTTCAGCCGTCAACCCTCAACCCTAATAAACCTTCATCCCTAAATCCTAACCCTCAAACCTTGAACTCCAAACCCTATACTGTTCATCCCTACAGACATCAAGAGCAGATCACACTTCTCAGCGTGAATTACCAGGCAGTTGAGGCCCACGCAACATTTTTGAAGATCATCCGAGAATCTGGCTGCTCTGCTTAGCTCTGGCTAGCAGGGAGTGAGACTGAGAATAGTTGTTTAGGGTAAGAAAATGGAAGTACTACGTCGAGTTTAGGGTTTATGGTTGCGGAATAGAAAAGAAGATGGGGGTTATTTAGGGACTGCTACGAGGAACCGTCCTTCCTTCTTTGCTAACCAGAGGTACGTCTGTGAGCCCTAGACTACCGCCCGCTTACTGAGTTAAAGCGATTGTGGTTAGTCTGAGGCTTGCATGCTGACATTTCAATGTTTACATTCTTATTCGTAGCTCCTCAGCTGCTCCTCGCTTCCTGTGACGGATCGAAAAGGGCTGTTTTGTTTTGCAGAGCTTCCCGTACTGCCTCAAGGAGCGCTTGAAGCGGACAGCTCAGCTATGCAATCATCTTCTTGGTCTTAGAGCCTGCAAGTTTGGGGAGTAGTGGTATCAGCACAAATTGCGTGTGCAGGATTTGCGGACTTCCTTGGACAAGTTCATTGAGAAGTACGTTTGCTGCGAGAACTGCGGCTCGGCAATTTTGAATCCCAGCAGGTACCGCTATACAGGTGTATTTAGTTATAGTACGAGCTTGGGGTAGTTCATATCACATTAATAGGCATACTACGGGAACAATACTAGTAATTCATAATTAGTGTCCTGAGCTGGGACCGTAGTAGTAGTAACGGCTGGCAACTCAGACAGCAGAAATAGCCGTGGCAGCAGACTTCAGAGGGAGAAGAAGTGCAGGATCCATATCGTTTTTGGTGACAAGTGGGCCTATGGGCTATCAAGGGATTATGTAGGAATAACTAGGAGGAATAGGGGGGTATATGGGGACTATATCATAGGGATAATGGAAAAATGGAATGACGAGAATGCAAAGCCAGGCCACTTACCTGAGATCGACATGTTCGTCAAGAAGGGCATCATTCAGGCATAGCCCTGGCAACCGTGGCCCCCATATTGGGTTGCTGGTAAGGAACTTCAATTAACGTACCATGATAAGGAAACCCGAGTGTTTATTATATACTCATATTATGGTAATTGAATAGCCGCGACCCAGTACAGAGTATGCATGAGGTAGGGCTTACGAGGGTTCCTCGGAATCATGGTGAATGGTGTATGGATCTTCCTCTGGGGCGATCAACAACATAAGTTTTACAGTTGATGGTCAACAAAGGATATTCTGCGCGTTTCGCTGTGTATTCAGTGGTTCTGGACTTATTTAGTATAGTTGCAGCAGGTAAGTTCCAGGGATGACAGCACTTCGCATTCCACCATGAGTTGCGCATTGCCCATGCTGTTGAGGGTTTGGGGTTTAGGGTTTAGGGCTGGATGAGCTCAGAACAGACCAGCTTCAGACGTGAGCCGGAAGCATTGGACGACACTCGCACGGATGACATACTGTCAAATACCAAGCCATGAGAGTGATGATTTCGTTGACAGCCAGAGTGGTTTGCAAAGCTGCACTGACGAATCCTTGCCTGGGTCCTGCAGCTTCTGCTTGCAATCATAAAGCCGTCGCAGCTTCACCAGTAGAAGTTTCCATTTTCTTTCCCATTGTCTGAATTTCATCCCTACATGACCCCTGGCTACCCCCTATATACTCTCGTGTAACCTCCATAGAATCCATTGGCCATCCCCAGTTGAGCATAGCCTCCTGGCAGGGTCGATGCAACGCCTGCGGTTGGCAAGGTGAACTTGACAATGTCGACAAGCCCCTGAGCCGCGGTTTAGGGTTTTTTGGGATCTCTGAACGATTATTTCTTACCGTAAACCCGTAAACCCTGAATTCCTTGAACCCTAAACCCTTAAACACGAAACCCCTTGAACCCTAAACCCTACGGTTTCAACAGATATTGGTCTTCCAGAGATGGCTGTATGTTGTTTTGGGGGGTTAATGTAAAACACTGATTAATAAGCTCCCTCCCCTCAAAAGGGGTTATCATCGGGATCCTAATATTAAGGCCCGTGAAAGGAGGGGTTTATTCATCATGGGTCTACATTAAACCTGAAACCCTGCACCCTGAATCGTAAACCCTAAACCCTGAACTCTAAACCCTTAAGCCTAAGCCCTAATTATGTGGGCAGACTACTTTTGGGAAAATGCCAGCCTGTGCATGTGTAGGATATTTACATGAAGCCTCAATCAGAGCAGACAAAGGTCTATTTGAGGCTTTAGGGTTTAGGGGAGGAGGTACCTGAATTTATAGGTTTGCAAGGGATTGAGGACCACCATATTGGTTATTTGGTTTTCTGCACTACATACCCCACAATCCCCACATAAATTTCAGTGTAAAACCAGTTCCCATGGCAATTTCCATTTCCTTCTCCCTTATCCCAAGTCCCGAACCCTAAACCCAAGATAGTAGGTTTCTTTTCTTTTTTCCATTTTCTTTTCCATTTGATTCTCCACGTATGGTTATCATTTCGCTTGCGCCAGTCCTTTCGCAGCTTTCTGTTGTCCCGTGCCTGCCAACAGCACTTGTCTGCACTTGCGGGTTTCTCAACAAACAGGGTCCCTTCACGGAGAGGATCATCTCATCTCCAGCTCCCTCAGGTTGAAAAAATGCAGTATGGCGGCTGCCAAAATCAGGGGGCCCCATTTAGACACCAAAATGCTACAATCCTTATTTTGGGGCCGCCAAATAAGGTACCCCTAATTGCGGGAAAACCCAACCCTACACCCGAAGCTCTTAACCCTAAACCCGCATTTTGGGCACAAGTCGCAAGGCTTGCGGCATTCATCCTCAAGAACCCGTCATGCCCTCAGTGCCACGCGGTTTGTTGTTCACAGAGGCAGGCAGGTTGCTGCTGTAATGTTGATGGACAAAATCTTGCCTGGCCTGAAATTTCCTAGGGTCCATCCATATTCCTGGCGGTTTAGGTCTTCTGTCTATGGACAGAATGACTGGTTAGGTGGACCCCTCACCAAGTATTAGTTACTATAAGGGATAATGTTGATTATATCAGGGTCCTCTTATGTTCCTATTTCATCGCTTTCACAGTTCTTGCCCACTAAGTCCCGACGAGTCTGGAATGGGGCTCGGCACAGTCGATGTGGGAGGCACGGTGGGTTCCATGCGGCTGTGCCAGAGTCTGATTCACTGGGTTGCTGTTCAGGAATTTATCTGAATTCCCATACTATGGGTATGTAGTACATGTATAGTAGTTTCCGTTTTCTTTTCCATTATCCCTATATAACCACGATATACTCTTGTATTTTCCATTTTGTTTTCCATCATTTCTACAGAACCTCTACATCAACCCAGTTCAGCATGATCCGGCTCTCAGTCAAGGCAGTACTATTGAGTGGCTGTGATTGCAGTTGTGTAGGCAAGCGCAGCAAGAAGGAGAAGGGCCGCAAAGAGGCAGTGGGCAACTGATCCATCTTTGGGGTTTAGGGTTTAGGGTTTAGGATTTAGGGTTTAGCGTTTAGAGGTGTGAGCTCATGCGATTTTGCCGCCCAGCTCCCGCAACTGCAGGATAAGAATGCGGATGAAGACGACGAGGTGGCTGAGCCAAGTAGCTGGTTGGCTGCCTTTGTGCAGAGCAGATGCGTTGCGGAAGTGTTCTGCGTGTAATATTTCAAATGATTACTCGCCAATAATTATGGATGAATATTACAGTATTCTTTTGGTTCCTGCTGAAAAAAGGACGACTGCGATCTTGCTTGGGTCAACCACCAGAGAACAAGTCATGTGTCGGCCAGGATGATGATGACCATTCTGGAAGCGGCAAACACGCTTGGCCCCAAGTCTTGCTGTTCAGGAACAGCAATCTAAATTACCATAATATGGGTATGTAGTATATGTATAGTAGTTTCCATTTTCNNTAACCCCAATATACTATAGTAGGGTTTTGGGAACACCAGCCACAGTTCAACAGCATAGCATTGCAGCACAGGAGAAGAAGGAAAAGAAGGACAAGAAGGAGAAGAAAGAGAAAAAGGAGTGTGTTGGCTTCCGGCTTTGCATGATACAGGTCAGGTGCTTCAGAAGCCAAAATTGTCTAGCTTCCTTCAGCGACATCCAGCGGATGGAGCGAATCTTGCACCACTGTATGACTCAATAGCTCACGAATAAGGTAGTTTCTAGGGTGCAGGGTAAAGACAAGGGCCCAAGTAGCATAATACAAAGGAGTAGAGCATAGTCAATACACCAGAGCATGGTATGCATCCGCAGTGGGTTCATGCAAAGACTGGGTTGCTGTTAAGGAACTTAAAGGAAGTTACTACAATGAGGAAACCCTATCACTTACGACATGCCCATATTATGGCACCTTAGATAATTTTTTTAACTGCAACTCAGAAGATTGCTACAACCTGGGAGGAGAAAAAGAAGAAGGAAGCCGACGACAGTGATGAAGACGAGGAGAAGGAAAAGAAGGCCACATAGTTTTAGGTCGGCAAGAACGCGGGGTAAAACCGGGTTGTAAGTTATGATCTAGATGCGATTGTAGATATCATGGATTACACTAGCTATTGGTTCGGGATTTACCTACCCAGAAAACATGCGTTCAAGGGGGTTCGAAGTTGGTATGAAGTAGTACAGCACGGCAGATACAACGTATTGCTACATACTATGGTATAGGTACAGCATAGTATCCTATAATGGCCTGTACAAGCATATAAGAACATATCACGCTATAGAACACCGTAGCATAATCCTGGAATTTATTGCAGTCTAAGACAGACAAGCCAAGCACAGCATCAGATTGTACAGTGTAGTCTTTCTACTGTTGTCGTGTCTTTTGTTATAGTCGAGTGTAATATAGTGCAATATTGTGTAGGATAACGTAATATACCATAACATCACGCAATTTATGTATTTTCGGCGTAATGTTGTAATGTTATACAGCATGGTGTGATTGGTTATATAGTGATGACGCGGGTCAGTTCAGCATGGTGCAAGGACTAGGCCGGGATTACGAGGCCACAGCTTGGCTTGTGGCAGGAGCAAGTTCAGTACCAGCGGTTGGGGCCTGAAGAATTGGTTTAGGGTTAAAGTGTAGGGATGAGGGATTAGGGTTCAGGGCTTTGGGGTGCTTTCTACTTTTGGCCGGTAAGGGGAAGAGTGTCCGTAGTTATTCGGGCTTCTACATTAGAAAGGGCTTCTGGGCAAAGCATATCAGAAGACGTGGTTCATTCTATCGCCCTATTTTCCAAACCCTAAAGCCTTACATCCGAAAGCCTTAACCCTGGACCCTAAATTCTCAATCGGGTCGCTGCAGGTAGATTTCGACATGAGCTATCGTCAGTATCAGCCCTTGCTACAAGGAGAAGAAGGAGAAAAAAGAGAAAAAAGAGAAGAAGGACAAGAAGGAGAAAAAGGAGAAGGATCCGGACAAGGAGAAGAAGGAGAAGAAGGACTCCGGCGACATCCGCAGCCACACAACTCGAACCGGGAGAGTTTCACACTACCGAGTTAGGGTTAAAGATCTATAGTCCCCCTTAAGTAGATAGAATATGGGATATCTGGGGATCTTATTAGAATTTACCCAAAGCCATATTCTATCTACTTAAGCGGGAAGATAAGTCAGTCGCGGCGACCCTGCAACGACCAACACTGCGTTCATGTAGCAGCGGTTCCGCTACATCGGTTCGTGTGAGCGAGATTTCTTTGCATGATAGCGGTCAGAGGGCTACCAGGAAGGTCCAAAGCATTCACTACGCTTGTTCAAGTCTTGTGTTTGGGTGTGATCTGGGAGCTTCTGAAAATAATCTCTGTCCTAAAAAGCCCGTATGGTCCTTTAAGGTACCACTGTTTTGAGAACCCCCCTTTTTTTCCTGGGGCTAGTAGGGAATAAGAGATTAAATAAATCCCTATATAATCCCCACATTCTATATTCCCTTATTCCCTACTAGCCCACGGTAAGTTTTGTGATTGGCAGTTTCATGCCTCTGTGCAATCTCTGGGAGTGATTAGGAACATGGAGTGCCTGTCATCTCTTCTTATTAATTAGTGGGGAATAAAGGATTCTATTATATAGGGGGTTATGTAGGGATTATATTCCCTACTAACCACCAGTAAGTCATTGATGTGATTTTGAGCTACTTCGTTGCGCGGCCACGGAGAGACTGTAATAGTAATAACGATAGTAGTTCCTGTAAACAAACAAGTGACAATAGTATTGCTTCGAGTATTGGTCGTGTTCCTCCGCTGCCATAGCTGCCAGTACTTCAGAAGGCCTGGTGAGTCCTGAGGCTTGGCGGTTGACAGGTTTTTGGGCGTTATCACCATGACCTTGTCGGGGGCAGATAGAACTTGTTTGGAACCACAGTGAACTACCCATAAACCGCCAAGTTCCAGCATCCAGGCTTTCCAATCAGGACTTCCACTATGAACTTTCAGCGACGATCAGTAGAACCAGAATGATATCAAAAGCAAGAGGCCTTTGAACCCCCTCTTCTGCCAGGACAAAAAAGAGAAGAAGGACAAAAAGGATAAGAAGGCACCCGACACGTGCAACAATGAAACGGATTTCTACGATGGTGCCTCGTGAGCGGATTTTTCATTTCAGGAACCGAAATCCCCACACCCTAAACAAAATAAAGGGCGCCCCTTTCTTGCGGGTCCATGGCCCAATAATGAATCAATCGGAAAATCAAACGGAACATGACTTGGAAAACGAGGGTTTTCAGGGACAGGAGGGATTCTAAGTGTTTTAGAAACTATGTTTACTTATAACTGTACTCTTCATCCCAATTGCAAGCCTCCCTAGGTCCCCGAATATGGGTCTAATGGGGTTCTGGAGTACAAATTGCAAGTGGGTCATGAGTACCCGTGGACCTCCAAGTACAACATACCCCCAAAGAGTATCATCACAATCTTAGAGCGAGTATCTGACCAAACTACAGTTTTAAACTCTCCAAAAAGGACCCCCGAATTTGGAGAGGCAAACCCTCAACCCTCGGCCAAGACTCTTGTTTCTGGGAATCCCCATCAGGCTATGCCCAGATGCCCATCTAGGAATAGGTGAAAACCCTAAACCCTAAACCCTTAACCCTTAAACCCTAAACCCCAAACCCCTAAACCCCTAAACCCTTGAATACGCAAAAGCAGTGGGCGAGATGTCCTGGCAAACCTCGGCAGCTGGGGTTTAGGGATTTGTTTTGCTCATGCCTAGTGGTGCTTAAACCCAAACTCTAAAACCTAAACCCTTAAACCCTTAAACCCTAAGCCCTAAAACCTAAGACCTAAAACCCTAAACCCTAATCCGCAAAGAAAACTCGAATTGCAACCGATTCCCTTGCGGCCAAGCCTGGATTTCGTGGGGCCTTGGCATATTCAGCCCTAGGGTTTAGGGGTTTAATAAGGGGTATATAGGGGTTCTATAGGGGTTATAGTGGGATAATGGAAAAGAAAATGGAAACTAGGCTTTGGGTTTTAGAGTTTAAGGGTTTAGGTTTTAGGGTTTAAGGGTTTGGGTTTTTAGGGTTTAAGGGTTTAGGTTTTAGGGTTTAGGGTTTCAGGGTTTAGGGTCTAAGGGCTAACAGAGTCTCAAGCTAATCCTCAAAGGTGACATGCAATTCCTAAATATACCGGGGTGTCCTTGGGTACGTACCATAACTCCCAAATCCTAAACCCTTGGATCCCAAAGTAGTTCCTATACAATCCTCAACATAGCCTCTGTAGAAGTATTAAAAGTCTCCATAACCCATGGTCCCATTCAGTAGTAGTAAGAACTAGGGAATCATCCTGAGACACTTTCCGAAGTTCACCTTCACCTGCTGCCTAATTCTGGAGACTGGAGCTAAAGGCGGAAAGGGGGACTAGAAAATAGCATGGAAGCCACTGTAGTGTTTGGGGTTTAGGGTGCTTAAGGGCACTGCCCTTAACCCTAAACCCTAAACCCTAATCTGTGTAATGTGCCTATATTCCTCCCCGGTCTCCCTGAAGCACCTGCAAGTCTGGGATTGCGGTTCGGTATCTCAGCTTGCTTATCGTGCAGGAGAAGAAGGAAAAGGAGGCTGGGCCAAGTGTTGTTGAGGTTCACCTTGCTGTTGATTGGTTTAGGGTTTAAGGTTTAGAGTTTAGGGTTTAGGGTTTAGAGTTTAGGGTTTAGGGTTCAACCGGAACTTTCAGGATATTTGGTTGATCAGGACGTTACGGCCAGGCCGCGTGGCCATTGCAGGCATGTTTGGCTACCCACCCTAACACCCCATGTAAACCCCGTCCCACTGCATCTAAGGTTCAAGACAGCTGCTGATGTTGTTTTTCGGGAGAGTATACTTCCACCTGTTCCTGGCCAGGAGGAAGAAGACGAGGATTCAGACAAGGATGTGAAGAACCTCGCGTGCCGAGCCAAGATTTGCGCGATTCGGATGGGCATTCCTCAAAAGGAACTCAATGATCTTCCAGCGAGGGGTAGTCGGGCGCTTAAGAACCCATAATATCGCCGCCCTCCTTATTTTGGGACCCAAAACAAAGGGTCCAGGGAAGCCTTATGTGAGTTGTATGAGAGATTGCTCACGGCTTTTGGCTTTTTGGCGAGCGTCCCGCATCGGGCAATCAATGACCAATATCTTGGGCGATGGAAGAAATCTGGCACCACGCTATCTCCCCACTAAAGGAATTGCAGCAGTTTAGCTATGCTTTGTAAGATCAACTGGAAAAGAACATGGAGATGGAGACTGGGGCTATATTAGGGAGTTGTATAGGCATGCAGGCTGTACAAGGTACTTCGAGGATTTTGGCATAAGGTTGCCTTACATGATCTTATTCTAAGCCCTACACACCAAAACGCTGTAGGCACGACGACGAGCAGACCAAGTCGGTGATTGGCGTTCTGAAGGAGTTCGTGGAGAGCAAAGGACGGCATCGGTGCGTAGACTCCAGAGTGTAGGGGCCCAAACTATTTAGGGTTTAGTTAGGGTTTAGGGAGTATACTTAGGGGGTTAGATGGGCAGAATAGAGAGATACTGGACAAGAAAATGGAAACTACTATTTGGAGTTTAAGGTGTAGATGTTATTGTTTCGGGTCTAGGGGTATTACAGCAGTAATGGAGAAGCTGGAAACTGGATTTATATGGAGGTACTGAGTACTATAGGGATTCTGCAATGTAGGGGCCCAAATACTTAGCAATAGCATGGTCCTAGATTCTTCGTAAACTATTGTAGAGAGGTACCTCCGGATCTAGACCTTAAAAAGCGATTGGAAATCATGAGCTCCCCTACAATAGACTAAACGCTAAACCCTCAACCCTAAACCCTGAACCTGAAACCCTCAACCCTTAACCCTCAACTCCAAACCCTTAAGCCTCACCCTAAACCTCAAACCCCAGTAGCACTGGATATCACACCTTCTTAAGATGTTGATTGTAGCCTATAGTTTTGGGATGACTCTGGTGTCAGTATGGGTATTTAGGGTTTAGGGGTTTAGGGTTTAGGTAACAGAAGGGGTCCCCTCTTATGTACCTCAACAGGTTGTCTCTTGGTTAAGGGCTACGCCTTAGGTCAATCGGCCCCTGCGGTAATTGTGGAGTTAGTAGGGCTTGAATATACCTACAGTAGCCCCTTGTGGTACGCACTACTTGGTGGGGGATTGGCCCAACCCATACCCAAAATTATGCCAGGATCCCTAAGCCCTAAGCCCTAAACCGTAAATCCCCGCACTCTAAACCGAATATGAGCTATAGTCTAAACGCTGTTAAGGGGGTTAAATAGGGCATGAAATAGGGGACGACTATAGGCTAGGGGATGCCAAGGGGGATACTAGGAGTTTAGACTATAGCTCATTTGACTTCTCGTGTAGTCCTTCAACCCTAAACCGTAAACCCTAAACCCTAAACCCTAAACCTTCAACCCTAAACCCCTGTTGACTTCAGGAGGCAAGCCCAGCAAGGCCGACTTTTATGAGGAGCTGCGTATGCAGTGCCCTGGTGATGGTTGAGGGTTTAGGGTTTAGGATGTAGGGTTTTGGGTCAGGGTTTTGGGATTTAGGGTTTAGAGTGTAGGATTAAGGATTTAGGGTTGAGGTTTAGGGTTGATTTCCACGGTTCGGTATGCATATGTACTAAGTCCAAACTCCAAAGGGGCTATGTCGGGGATTATATAGTGGAGTCTTATAAGGATTGCTAAGGAGGATGCTATAGATGCAAGCACTTAGCAATTCCAGCAGGGGTTTTAATTGCAAGGAAGTTGAATGTTTAAATGTTTCCCACGGTTTCTAAATGGTGCTGTTCATGGAGGAAAAGAAAGCTTGCACCACTTAAGGTGTCTAAAGTTTGGGAATTACTGCGAGTCTTCAAACCTTGGAATCAGTTGGAGTTTTGGACTTAGGGTCGTGCAGGATTTCTTGTATCAACAGTGGTCCCAGAAAGGATTCGTTTTTCAGTTCAACTTTTTGAAAACTCCAACATTATCGCTACTACATGCAGGTTCAATTGGGCCGCGTAAAGTAAGAAAAGCTTTCCAGCTGAGCAGTCTCTGCTGCTGATTGCCTCCAACATTCACCAACTGGGAGCTTGTCAAATATGATCTCTACGCAATCCTGAAGTGGTCCATCTATGTTCCCTTGCACCCCTTAACCCTAAACCCTAAACCCTAAACCCTAAACTTACCCAGGTCTTTGAGGGCCCAAGGGCCCGCATTTTTGGCAACCTCCGACTTGCAATCAAGGCAATTGGCGAAGGTCTTTGACAACAAGGTGCGGTGGGAGTGTGATTCTAGCTCCAGGTCCTGTGTTTAGGGTTTAGGATTTAGGGTTAAGGATTTAGGGTTTAGGCTTTAGGGTTTTGAGTTTAGGATTTAGGGCTTCAAAGCTTAGGTTTAATATATATATATATGGATGCTCACTGACTCTTGTTGTGTCTGAAGCAGGTTGCTTAGCAAGAATCTCTTCGTGCCTGGCAGGCAACTTTTCCCGGGTTGCTGTTCAGGGAGGTAATTCTAGGTTCCTATACTGGGGAAACCATATTAATTTCTATATAGACCCATTATGGCAACTTAAACCCTAAACCCTATATACCCTAAATACCCTATTGTACCCTTTCATCTGCTGATTTTGGTAACTTATTTTAGGTCCCTGAACAGCAACCTAGTTTCGTAGCCCTATCGTGACTTATCGACGCCCTGAGCCATCAAAATCTATGCCGTCGCACCCTCTGAATGCCAACCTTTCTGGGCAACTATTGCATAATGTAGACCCATGATCAATAAATCCCCTTCCTTTAAGGGTCAAAATATTAGGATCTTATTAAGGGGAGGGGTTTATTAACCAGGGATCTGGGATATTGTTTTTGCTGCTATTGTTGCCAAATCCAATTTTCTATACAAAATGGTAGTCTTTTCGCTGAATTTTTTCCATAAGGAACCAGTTTTGGGATTCCTACAGCAGACCTTAGGTAGACCCCCCACCCAGTAAAAGTGAGTATGAGGCATAGTGGCAGCTATATTTAGGGTCCGAAAATATTGTACCACTACTACAGGGTGGGAGGTTCCTCCTAAGCTAAATCCTAAGCCCTAAACCCTAAACCCCAAATAGCAGACCTCCAGCAGGTTCGCCTGTTCATTGCCTTTGAGGTGCGTCCCGAAGTCTGTAGGTAAATGGGGGTTGCATAGGGGACTATGTAGGGTCTAGGGTCTAAATTCCTTAAAGGGGGTTACATGGGGGCTACAGTGGCAAAAATGGAACCTACTGTAATGGGTTATATATGTTTAGGGTTTAGGGTCTTAAGTCCTTAAAGGGGGTTATATAGGGGATTGACTATCTAAGGCAGTATTATAGGGGTTACCAAGGGAGGTATAAGGAGTTTGGACTCGGCTCATGTGTTTCAAAAGGGGTTGTACTGAAAAATAGGCGTATTCTTTACGGGATTATAAGATATCGTCGTCTTGCCTTTGTGGAACTCCCGCGTAATCTCTACATATTCCGGTGCCAAAAGGGACGCATTGTCAGAGACCCCCCCCCCATGATGGTTCTTTCAGGGCACCATTTGTTCAGAAGAAAGACAAGAGAATTCTTTGGACATGAGGGGGCCTCATTTGTGAGATGCACCGACAAAGTTGGTTGGATTAAGTCGGGTGCAGGAAAGGTCCTAAACCCTAAGCAGTAGTTTCCATTTTCTTAAGCCATGGCGCCATTCCAGACAGGCTACGAGACATGTAACTGATATGAGCTATAGTCTAAACTCCTCAAAGGGGGGTTATATAGGGGGTTATGAGGGTCATTAAGGGCGATACTAGGAGACTGGAACGAGAAAGCGATGCTCTACGCAATCAGGAGAAGGCACCAAGAAATCATACTTGTGGATAATATGGTATGATATAGTTTGATATAGTTGCAACATAGCATCGTATAGCCTAATATAGTATAATATAGTAACGAGAGGTCTTGTTTTCATGGCTGCTGTCTTCCAAGGGTTTTAAGGCTCTACCAATCTAAACTCCTTCAAGCCACTGGCCCCGCACAATTCCCATTCGACTCTTGGCTTCAACTGAACAATCGCTGTCCCCTTGTTGAAGTCCAAGTGCAAGAAAATTCTCCCCCCCCCGGCAGATACTAGAATCATGTGAGCTATAGTCTAAGCTCCATTAAGGGGGTTATATAGGGGTTTTATTCAGCAGCATTACAGGGGTTATCAAGGGGGTCACTAGGAGTTTAGAATGGGTCATGTTCTTCTTCCTTGCTGTCTCATGAATGTTTTGAATGCCATGGCCGGCAGTTGCCTGTGGCATTCATCCTAAGCCACCCATCGCTAGCCTCAAGACCTTCAACACCAGACTTTAAAGTCCCCCTTAAGTAGATGGGTACATTATAATGAGACCCCCGTATGCCCCATATTCTATCTACTTAAGGGGGACTTTACACCTAGAAACTTAGAGATCCAAACATCCAGAAACTCAAAGCCCCTGAACCTAATATTTCTAAAGCTTCAACTCTTGACCCAAAAGCATTAGGGTTTAGGGTTTAGGGTTTAGGGTTTAGGGCCTAAACCCAAAGCCCTAAATCCCACCAGAAAGTCCAAAGTTTCAGGTACTGTGTGGCAGCTCCATGGATGCCAAGGCGCTCAGTGGAGTCAGTGCGTTGGTTGCCGGGTGCTGAGCAGGATGGTAGGGTTTAGGGTTTAGGGCTTGGAGTTTAGGGAAGCATATATGATAGTACATTATCGTATATTATGGGATATTATGGGATGTCATAGGATATTGTAGGACATTATGAGATATTATGGGCTACTATGGGTCATTACGGGTTATTATAGCATATTATGAGTGAGTATGGGATGGGTTATTATGAGATACAATGGGTATACTATAGGATAGTATGGGATATCATGGATATATTACGGGATATTATGGGCTAGTCTAGTATATTATGGGATAGGGGGGCTGGGCAGGGGCAGGCTGGGTCGAGATTGCATGGATTGAGGTTTTGTGTGTTTAGGGTCCAGGATAGCGCCCCCATATACTATTCCCCTAATTTACAATCTGCGTATGTAACCCTTATATATCCTTCCTATAACCCCCAAAACCTCGGACGGGCGATTTCGGTATGGGGTTTGGTGTTCAATTTAGCGTCTTCTGGGTGTGTGGACTACCATGGAGACGACCGGATTGTCTGGAGTGGAGAGACGATAATTCCATGGGTTTAGGGTTTTCCTGATGTAGATCCCATATAGACCTAAATAAGAGGAAGCCACATGACAAGAGGATTGCTGTTGACCACTTCAGGATGCATCTGCAGATGCAGTTTAGACCCTTTTGGAGCTTTTTGTAGCTCGTGGGATCTCTAGCTCTTACAAATTTGGCAGATGGGAGTTGATGACAGGGAGGATTGTCGGGATGTTTTGGAGATAACAGGAGGGTGCATTATGAGGATTCACTCTGACCATTGACGACCCGAATTTGAATTTTTGGCTTTCTGGGACCTAAGCCCAAAAACCCAAACCCTAATCCCTAAACCCTAAACCCTAAGCCGGGTAAATTTGCGCCAAAGCGCGCGTGCCAGATCAGAAAAGCGCGCGCACGTCGTAAACTGGGGAAGGAAGTGCTTCGGTGTGGTTGCCTTATCCAAAGACAGGCAATTCTCAAAACCAGGCACCCAGAAACATCCGAAAAAAAATCCTGCTTAGCAAGGGAACCAGAAATTTGGGAAGCCCCGAACCCCGAAGCTGTAAGAGTACTAAGTAATCCTTGTAATATTCCCAGAAAGATTGTGTAGAGTGATTCATACTTTGGGAAACCATGCGTGATTTTGTCGGGGTTATCTCTTTTTTTTGGATGGGGCCAGCCATTGCAACACCTACCGATAGGCCTTGAGCGGCAGTGTCAGGTCAAGAAATCTGCGTTCAGGGTGCATAGGGTTCGTGGTGTATAGTAGGGAATTAAGGAATGATCCCCACAGAAGCCCCTAAGCTATCCCCAGCCGTGCAGTTGTTTCCATGTTCTATTGCATTCCTTCATTCCCTGGGCACAACCAGCAGGTTCAGTATTCTCTTGCGGTACTGTTACCCTAAACCCTTCACCCTAAACCCTAAACCCCTAAACCCTTAGACTCTAAACCCCTTAACCCTAAACCCCTGAACCCTAGACCCCTAAACCCCCTAAACCCTAAACCCCTAAACCCCTAAACCCCTAAGACCTAGACCCTAAACCGCATGGCCTTCTGCTGCCAAGGACAAAGTCATCAACAGCCCGCCATCCTGCCCTGTTGGACGAACGTGAACACTAGCAAGGTCATTTTCTCTAAGGACTTTAGGAGGGATCCCTAATAGGGACCCTTGTAGCTTATGGGGGTCAATATGGGGGCTACCTAGGGATATAGGGGTTATATAATGACTATATGAGGGTTATATATGGTAATGGGATTAAGGGTCCCTATAAGGGGTCCCTCCTAATGTCCCTAGATTTTCTATAATAGTATCACGGGTACT